CGGGTAATTCAATGATAGCTTTCGCGATTGAAAATTAGGGGGCGCTCCTTCCGAAGATCATCGTGCGTATAAATATCTCTTTAAAAATGCAACACAAAAAATAATTCCGCTGAAGGTACGCAAAAGTTTCTCCGTCGCCGGGAGGGAACGGTGCCGCGAAGGCGTAAGACGAAGATGTATCGCGGAGGTATACCGCAATAGGAAGAGCCAGGGTGAAGATCGCAGTACGTATCGCGGGCGCTCACGAGGAGGATCGAACAGTCGACCGATGACGGTGCGGCCGGAAACAGTGCGCCGGTGGGAATGCGCGAATCTCGACGGTGCGACTTTCAAAAGGCAATTTCTCTTCCTCGCCTGCGCAGCCGAAATGTGCGTGTGACACTTGGTAGTGCGTTATTTGTTCCTTCTTTTAGGAAGAATGATTCTTCTTTATTATATATTGCGTCAGCATGTTGGATGTGTGCACGGCAAAAAGTCTTGTGTCTAAATGGTATAACTTTCGTGCGTTACTTACTTTTGACTTTGATTGTTACATCAATGTAAATTTAACATACAACTAATATGTTACCAGTTTCGCAATTTAGTAACTTAATATTTTTATGTATTATCTAAAAATGAAACGGTATTTCGAGTTTTCTTTCAACACAATTGCTCAGTCAATTTATAATTGGTGGCACATATTTTATGCATTAAAAATTACAGACAAATTGTGCTAGTTATATTTACAGATACAATTGTCATCTTAAAACTTGGACAATACAAAATACGAATATAACTAGAACATATCAGTGATATGGTGCGTAAGATACGTAACTCAAGATCCAAAGTACCCGAATTCGAATTACATTAGCGGTAAGCATGTTTTCCAATTTAATATTTAAATTAAAAACGATATTAATTAAATCAACTAAATGGTACATAATTAAGAAATTTTCAGACATAGTCATTGATAACATCTTAAGAACGCGATTAAAAAGAATGTGTTAAATTTTTAAGTAAATAAATTTTTTTAATTTGAAAATGGCATTTGTTATATTTGACGTAATAAATAGGACAACTTAACACCAAATTTTTTACCGTATAAATTAAAATGACTCTGAAAATAATCAAACTTTGACATAAGAAATAGTAAAATTGACGAAGACCAAATGTTGTATTACGAATAACTTAAGCCGAAATAATTAATATCGTGTTTTGGAAGAAAATATGTTTGTGTAAATTCATTAATATTTTTAGTGAATAATGAGTTATTTTAATAAGTTATTTCAACTTAAAATTTAGAGTAGACTTTCTAGGACATGTAAAATTTTGTTAAATTAATATTTTATTTTCTACTGTGTACACCGATCGATCGAGGGCTTCCCATGTGACACTTGTGGCTTCACGAACTATTCGCAAGAAGCCGAGTGGATCTATTTCGCGCGATCGAGTTTCGGAAAGAAGCGTCACCCTTGCTCGCTCATTTATGCATGTGGATTCGATGTGAAACTCCATCGAGTATTCTGCATAGGAAATTCGATTAATCGTGTAAACGCTCGAAGGCTGGTAGGTAGGTAGATAAGGTAAGCACTATGCTCCGTCGCACGCAAAGATACATAAGCGGCGCACAAATGTTACACTCGTTACGGTCTCAGTACATCGCGTGCAACACCGACACGTATGACGCCGAGGCTTTCACGACCTACAACATTACGGATGTAATTACGGACATCATACGCGAACATTGTGTGTCACGGGAAGAAGAGCTCTAAAAAGTTAGTTATACATCGGTAGCATTATTCGCGATGAACGATAATGCGATCGATCGTATACGCGAACACAAGATTCTTCCGTTATATCGTTAAAGTCTTACACTGCCGAATTGGATTAACGAAAGGTCCACGAACTTGCCGACCGTGAGCGTCAGGTGCTTCTGCGATCTCACGATCATTAGCAGGAGATCTCGATTCTGGTTTGGCTTCAAGTCGTACCAGAGCGATTCGTACGCCGCGTCGCCGATCATTCTGCTCTGTGGAACACGGAAAATTTTTCTTGTAGAACAGCTCGTTCGAATCGGGGGTGATGTTGTCTTTCGAAGGTTTTGACATTCGAATTTCAAATATTTGGAAGATTTAAAGCCTCAGTGTTCGATACTTGAACTTTAAAAATATCGAAGCTTCGAAATTTTGGAATTGTAAGATTTTTAGCGTGTGAAAAGCGTTGTTTGAATCCGCTATTTAATCTGAATCTATCGCTATCTAATATCAGTCTCATTTGAAGCTTTGCAACGCGAAGATTGCGGTCTTCATAGACCTTCGAGGTTTCGGCTTACCAAATTTCGAAAGTTCGAGGATTCCTTCGAAGTTTCGTATCCTTTCGAAACTTTGAAATGATCGATGATTAATAATAATAGCCCTACACTAAAAAACAAGTGGTAGAAAAACAAAATTTTGTTTAAACNTGAAATGATCGATGATTAATAATAATAGCCCTACACTAAAAAACAAGTGGCAGAAAAACAAAACTTTTTTTAAATGAACAAAATTGTTTCAAGCACAACGTTTAGTCCACTGACCAAATTATGTAATTGCTGTAAAAAATTATCAGTTGATCCAACGATTGCGATTTGATCACCATTTATAAGTATCAACGCAACGCATCAACGTGTACTTTGTTCAATGAACATAATATTTATTTCAATAGGTGATCGCCAATTTTATCGATGACATCAGCTTTTTTCTCAATATAATTCGGATATGTATAGTCAATGCCAAAATAGTCGCTAATTTTTTCTCTCGATAAGTTTCAACGCCACGATATCGATATACAATAATAGAATTTGTTTTTTCATAGTAAAAGTGAACCAATTTTCTTACCGGAAGCGTTTTAAAACTTAACGAGGAAAAAGTATCGCGATCCTTTCTCGCCATATCATACACTGACCTTCGTGCTGAGATACTCGCCGACGAAACAGAAGATAAACGCGTCCGAATTAATTACCATGTAAAACAGCATGGATTTTATTAAGGTCGTCGACGCGTTCGGCAAACCGATGGACTGAAATTGTCAGAACACCGTATATGTTTCAACGAAGAAAACAAACTTGAACATTTCGGTCTACTCACGATGACGATGAGAAATCCCAAGCAGCAGATGATCACAGTGTTCGACACGAACTGTACGAGCGCGATGTTCGAAAAGAAAGCTTCGATGTTCTGCGAGAAGGAAATGATCCTCTGGTGTCGGACGATCAACCTTTTCACGATGCTTCTGGACACACCGCGCTCGATGTCCTTTCGCGTGATCTCACCTAGCTTTTGTCGCACTATGTCAATCTGCCCGCATACGTGAAGGACCTGAATGTGACGACACACACGCGTCGTTTAATCTAACGTCTTTCTTAACGGAAACGAACAAGCACACTTTCCTCGAGCGTTCAACATAGATGGATTCAGTCTCCTGACTTTTCCGCGCTCATACACAAAGATCCTAAAAAAAATTGAATACTAGAATTTCGACGCGTGTTAGTTGACAACCACTTTTCCTTCACTTCACAATTTTGTTGCATATCTATGGCTAAACGAAGAGAGGAGAGGAAAGGAGAGAAAAAAAAAA